TTACAGTCATGCACAGCACACACCTACTGCTCTTATCCACTGTTACAGTACCATGCAAATCATTTTTCAAGTTGCTTCAGTTTATTATAAGCTTCCGAACATTTAAAAAGATCTTATTCAACGCTGACTTCCAGAAACGCGTTTTCTCAGTTTATTACACTGAATTTTTCATCAAAAAATGTTACATTTGCTGGTGCATTCGAAAATAAATAGGACAATGTTTCACGATTTTATCAGTTGCGATTAGTAATCCGTTGTGATGATGGCGTTAGATGCCGCAGGTCAACAACGATGAAACACTTGCGTGATTGCTGTTTGATATCGACGAATCAATTCATCGAATATCTCATATCAGTGGTTCTTTTCAAAGGATCGAGAGATGTGAATTTTCTCTGTGAGGAAATTTGATGGTCTCAGTGGGAATTGAGGAGGTTCTGGCAAACCAGTTATTTTTTTCATAATTCTCCCATAGCTATTCCATAATGCTTTCCGAGTGATTGTTTTTATCGCAAGGAAATGATTCTTTCGATGCGTCCAGCCGGCTTTTTGATCACTTAATCAATTTGCCAATTTGCTTCTGATTTGTCGCTAAGAAGTAGTGCATTATCAGAATTATGGTCACGTAAATTGTTGGAGGAAGAAATGGCGATTTGTCTAGCGTACGGCCAAAGTTGGACGCTTAGTGCAACAGCGTAAGCAGAACCGCCTATTGATTTGTATAGATTACGGATGATATACGCGTAGACATTTAAAATATTTGGCTAAATTTTTGTGAAACGTTCATATGATGTGTTCATTCTTGCTATCAGATATCTCAAAAATACGGTTATCAGTAAAGAGGCAATGGCGCGCTATTCGCTATTCTGCAACCAAACGAAGTAATTTTTTCGATAGCGCGATAGCTCGCTACATTTTCAAGTAATGGAAATTTTTAGCGATAACCACTCCTACAATAATTTTTTAATGGCGTAAAGTAGCGATATCTTGTGTCAGGTTCATTCGTTAGCTAACTGGCCAGCTTTTCTTTCTTTTCAAACTTCCGCAAACCCGCTGCTTCTCGTCTGCTGAGTAATGCTTCTTTTTCTCCCAATATCAAAATATTTAGAATACAAATTAGCAATCTACCAATAACAAGTGCCACATTCGAACCTATTGTACGGGTCAAAGTTGAGTATTCAATTATATCTCAGATACGTGCTATCATTACACCACTAGCATTCCATTTGGGCTCACTAAATTATATAACACAGAATAAGTTCCATGGCAGGGCAGTAAAGTTTTCTTGAGTTCTGTACTCGCCATGAAAGAGGATATAATAAGAGCCGAAAGATTCAGATTCTCATGTGCTCATCGTGTTGATATTTTTGAAAGGGAATGAAAAGGTGTAGTGCGGATTGCTGTCAGATGGTTGTTTTTCATCTTTGGATATTTCACTGTTGTCACCTGGTATTTTCTTAACGTCTGGTGCTTATTGCCTGAAGATTTTTGTCGTTGAATGATTGAGCAAAAATTTTAAACTATTCATTGGTGCAATGAGGCTTTTTCACATACAATTCAGTGATACGATTGCAAATTTTGACGGATGATTTGAAGCTAGCGATTAGCGGACTGATTTTGCTGAGTAACGTTTTGGTGAAAACTGCCGTTATTTTTCCAGATTACTGGTACTTTCAGCGGGAAGTTTCGTTACTATTTCGTCAACAACGTCATTAGCGGATGAAATTTAGACGAACAAAAATATTTATTTTTTGAGCGAACCAGCGATTATAGGAGCCTGTTTTTTTNAGATTCATAATAATGCATACACATAAAGATGATTTTGTACCAATATGATCTGTTGAAACTGACTATGGGGGCTTGAACAGAATCATATCTGCGTTTCAGATCTTCGTAACTTCTCGTTTTTATTACATCTACATCACATTCAATAACGGAATAGTGTTTTTGGCCACAATTTCGTTGTGTTCTGACGAATCTATAGAGAACATTCTCTTAGAAGAAAGGTTCTCTTGAAAAGAACCTTAGCCAAAACGGCAGGTCATAAAATCATTTCCGAACCAACTGAGAAAATGCTTCATCCTCACTCTGTCCCCCTTACCCATTCCCATCATCGTGACCAACGCTTCTCCGATGGAATCGAGCAGTATCAATTCAATTTTTTATTTATTTTTTCAATTGTAACAACAGATTCTGTGTTATCATGTCTGATTTGTTGGGCACGTTATGATGGCGTGTTTTTTTCAAAAAACTTCTAATACTTTGTTGGAGGAATCCATCCCCGCAGTGGGCACGCTGGGAGACCAGGGGGACGGCAATAGGGACACACTTCTTCTCTGTTGATGGAGGACGAGGACCGAAAAATCCTCTCATGTGCTAGCCATAGACTGGAAATGTCACTTTATAGTTACTGAATCTGCATTATGCATAACTACTTAAGGAGGTTGAAATTGAATTCATTACCGAGTATGCTTGAGGAATATCTTTATCATAACAAGTCTGAAAAACTGTGACTTTTTCAAAAAATTTCGATTTGATACATCAAACTTCCTGCACTTTTTCACTTGACATTGAATACTGATCGTTTAATACCTTACCGCATAAAATGTTGCTGTCGCAAGATGTTAATTGCCTTTTTCGACTGGTATAATGTCTGTGTTTCCCTAGGCTTTGTACGGTTAGGTAAGTTTGCCGACACTGGTTTCTGTTTATCATATTTTAGCTTCATTGCTTTCTGATCAAGCATACCAAGTGTGTCGGTCGTAGTAGCGGAACTTATGAATCACTTCACAATTGGATAATGGGCACCTAGCATGGATGAAGATAAAATGATGCAGTAAAGAAATTTATCGCGTGAACAGTTATCAAATAAGTGCAGTTCAAAATAAACTGAAATAAAATGGATTTTTTTTTGCGATAGTCAAAGATAAGAGATGTATGTATGTGATAGCGACTAAAAGAAATTATTGTTGGTGGGCTATGACATGATTCGAATAGTGTTTATTGTTATCGATCCTATGCATCTTCTTCATAACTTTTCATCATCCGTTTATTCAAGAATTTCATTCACTATAGCATTATTATTACTCACACGTTCAGTCATCCGTTTGTTATTCATTATCACTCCATTATTACTCACAAACCGTTTTTTTTTCCTGGCTGGAATTAATTTACAATGAAAGATTCAAGCAACGACAAAGTTTTTGGTAGGAACTAGTTTTCAGAGAGTTCAAAAATTTCGCGTAATCATCCCTGATAATTAGAAATATCTCCGCCTACACGGTCCGAATTTTCGATAGTAGGCTTCAGACGCCTGATGACTTTCAGAGTTCGGGTTCCCTTGAGAAGTGTTTGAAGATGTGCACATTTGAGGTAGGCGCATTTTTACATTTCATCGATTTCTTGTTTCGAACTTGTCGACAAAAGAATAATATCAGAAGGAGTATGTGAGCAGAAAAATTTTTTGACATAGGAAAATATGAAAATGAAATAATTTTTTTTTCGAAATAATTTTATTTCATTGATGAAAAGGACTGGTATCTTCCAAATCAGATAGAGACGACTTGATTTTCCGCTGATAATAAGTAATAAGATATTCGTTAAGAATGCTAAATTTCTTTTGATTGCGTACATTTTGATCATATGATTTGAACCATCTAATCAAGTCTGACTCTCAGACTCACGCAAATTGGGATTAGTCTACAGCCCAAACTTAAGGTTGAACTTTAATATTGTATGATGAAAAGACAGCGTGATGATATGTCGTGTTACGATTTGGATGCAACCCTTGATTTCGCTTCTCTTCGTTACAATTTTGATGGAGCGATCGTTGATGAATGAAATCAGTTTCATGGACTTGATGATCTGTTAAAGTATCTAAATTTATAGTCTTTGTATGACATCATCTCTAACGTTGGTAGTTGATAAACAATCGGTGACCCGGAACGAATCGATTCATGAAGTAAATTCAAACAATTCGCACATTGGTTTTACAGATTAAAAATGAACAAAATTTTATTTTTGCTAATCGGTTAGTTGATATTTTGTTCCTTCGGCCATGTAAATTTTCGAAACTAGATTGCTCTTGAAACTGACGACATTAGTTTGAAGGCCTCATGTTCTTTTAGTATCTCGACGTGATTGTCAAACAAACGTTTAAAACGTTGACGATAAACCACATCTGAACTGAAAAGCTACCCTTCGTCAATATGAATGATCATTAAAAATGAGCGTTCCCATCAAATGATTTACGGCTGTATCCATAATCTGCAGCCAATGAAAATTTCAAAAAAGAGAACAAATTCATAATCATTTTCGAAATTCTTCATTCCCGCACCTGCTACAATATCCTTTTGGTTTCAACCCCACCCAGAAGAGATGAACACTTCCATGGAAAAAAATTTTTTTCTAAGTAGTTTGAATTCAAATCGTTTCATCACGACAGATCCGAATAATTTTCTCTTTAAGGAGTCGCTTTAATCAGAACACAGGCAACATACCATTCTGGAATTGATGAATTCAGTTCAAAAGGTCTCTTTCATGAAACGTCCTTTCTTCGTTGTTCTTTCATTTGATTAATCTTCTAATGCTTAAGCATACAGGAGACAACCATGAATTCGCAGCATTAAACAACTCGCCATAATGTTTTCTCAAATTTCGACATTCCCATTCAGTGTGTGAAATCAACAGAATCGGATGGATTTTTATCAATGCATTCGCAAGTAAACAAATTTGAGACCACCGAATGAAGTGTCCGGAAGCTACCCAAAACCGGGATCCCTGAAAAATCATTACGAAGGCCGTTCGAAAATTTCTCGCGGGCATTGAATGGCCGGTCCTTGCTTCTGATCTTTGAGAGCTTTTTTTGAGTCTTCTCTAATGATCGGATGATTTATTTGACTGATATTGGTCAGTATCATAACTGTCAACCATCTTTGTGGATAAAAAGCTTTGTGAAGCGGCAACAGCGCATTGGTTTAATTCATTTATTTACGCAGGAATAGATGAATTCTCTTATCATCCAACAACGTTCACAACAGTTACCGTTACACAAGCAGCAAGGAACACATCGTCAGAACCGACTATTGAACGTGCTGACGGTGAATTTTATCGGTTCAAATTCTCTTCAATTTGTGAACAATTTGTCCAACAATGTGCCATAAAAATTAGATCAAAATTCATGACTCTTATCTGCAGCAAAGTTGAAGTGGGACGATCCACCATTTTCCCATGTATTAATGCTCGTCGAGCTTACGGAGTAAATTTTCATCTGCACTGAAAATTGACATTATTCAATTTCCAATTCGTTTTCAGATCGTTGCATAGGACTCAACAATGGACTTTATTTCAAGCAGTGTGACACTGAGGCTCTTTTATGTGCGGGCGGGAATGGAACCAGCTTGAAGTGTGCAGAGAACGAAGTCTACGATAAAAGAACACATCAGTGCTCACCAAGGGTTTAGTTTCCTCACTGAAATTAATCTTTTCAGGAAATAACCAGCATTGTTCTCACTCTTACTCATATTATCACTATCGCTAGATTTCGATCCGGTCTCGAAACAAATTTTTGGTCAAACACTTTTCCGCACAAAACAAGTTTAAGAAAGTGATAGAAAAATAAAGAAACTAATAATGGAGAACAATATCAAAAACCAAAGGAAGAAAGTGCGAAAATAAACCATAAAGTATGACAGGTGGTTTATTCTAGGAATCAATACCGGAATGTCGGGAATCAACACCAGAACCTGGTAAAACAACTGCAAAATCTGAAACCGTGAGTACTGAGCAAGGAACCGGTAGACCTGAGCGTGAAACCGTAACGTCTGGGTCCGAAAGAACTAAAGCCGAATGGGAAACATCTGCAAGAGAAAAACCTGTAACTGAAGGGATAACATCTGAAATCGATCAGTCTGAAGTCGAAGGTTTGGCTGATGAAACCGAAGAACTAGAAGTTGAAGGCGTGACAGCAGCAGACAGAAAACCTGAACCTGAAGGTGTCACTGCTGGAGCAGGGGGCACACCACCTGGGATAAAGAAACGTCCAACTAGAAGGACAAAATCTAGGGGCTTGAAATCCCTGTCAGGTAAACCTGAAACTGGAGCTATAACCACAGGGGTGGGAAAACCTAAAATGGGAAGTTCGCCACCGGCAAATGCCTGGGCGAGACAACCATCAACAGCTGGAACGTCTGCAGCTCAGGATGTAACCGTCAAACCTGTAAAACACGTGACTACTGCAGCCGAAAAACGTGAAGATAAAAAGGCACCACCTGGAATAGAAAAACCTAAAGCCGGAAATGCTCTACCTGCATTTGCATGGATAAAACGGCCAACAACCGAAGATGTAACACCTGCTGCCGGAAAAGATGCAAGTGGAGGTGTTATTGTCAACCATGAAAAAGGCTTGACCTCTGCAGCAATAAAGCCTGAAGCTGGAACGGTACCACCTGCAATGGAAAAACGTAAACATAAAGTTGATTCACCTGCAATAGACTGGATAAAGCGACCAGAAATTGAGGGTGTGACAAGTGCAGACGGAAAGTCGACAGCTGGAGACGTTACTATTGAACCTGCAAAACGCGTGACCACTGCAGCGGGAAAACCTGCAGCTGAAGCTGTAACTGCTAGAACGGGAAAACCTAAACCTCGGAATGTTGCACCTGGAATTGATTGGATAAGACGACCACGAAATGAAAGCGTGACATCTGCAACGTTAAAGTCAACAGCTGAAGATGTAACCACTAAGCCCATAAAGTACATGACCACTGCAGTCGGGAAATACGAAGCTGAAACAAAAACCATAGGAACGGAAAAACCTAAACCTAGAGGGGTTCCAACTGAAAGTCCATGGATGACGAGGCCAGGAATCGTAGGCGTGACATCCGCAGTCGAAAAACCTACAAGTGCAGGGGTACCATCAGGAATCAAGGACCATGGAGAGGAAGGTGTTACCGTGCGAAGCGACAGACCAGAATTCAAAGGCACGACATCTCCATTAGGGAGTACTGAACCTGGAGATGTAGCCACTGGAACCGAAAAGCCTAAAGCTAAACATGTTCCAGCTGGAATTGCCCGGATGAGAAGGCTGCAAAATGAAGACGTGACATCTGCAACCAGGAAACCTGAAGCTGAAGGTTCATCACCTGAACCTGAAGAATCTAGAGCAAAGGGTGGACCGTCTGGAACAGAGAAACATGGATTGGACGGTTTGACTCCTGATGCTGGAAAACCCGAAACTGAAGGTACTCCATCTGGAATTGCCTCGAGGGGGACAGCGGAAATAGAAGGCGTGACATTTGCGCCCGGAAAAGGCGCACCGTCTGGAACTCAGGGAGCTGGCGCACAAGGTTTGACTTCTGAAAGTGGAAAACTCGGAGCTGAAGGTGCTTCATCAGAAATTGCCCCGAGAAGGACAACAGGGATGGAAGGCGTAACATTTGCGACCGGAAAAGACGGACGAAAAGGCGCACCGTCAGGAACCCAGAGAGCCCGTGCAGAAGGCTTGACTTCTGGAGCCGGTAAAACTCAATCCGAAAGTTTACCATTCGTAACACGGGAACATGAAACAGAAGGTACAAAAACTGGAAAAGGAAGAGGTGCTACATCAGGAACATCCTTGAGCAGAACAGCAGAAATCGAAGGCGCGATATTTGCAGACGAAAAAGGCGGACGGGCAGGCCCGCCGTTTGGAACTCAGGAACCTGGAAAAGAGGCAGTGCCTGCTAAGGCCACAAAACCTCAACCGGACGGTGTACCATTAGAAACTCAGGAACCTGAAGAAGAAAGATTGACTCCTGAAGCTGAAGATGACCAATATCGAATTGCACGGAGAGGAACAACCGGAATCGAAGGCTCGATATCTACAGCAGGGATATCTACAGGAAAAGGCGCATCGTCCGGAATTGAGAATTATTTAGCCGAAAATTTCACTCCTAAAGCTGGCAGGCCTGAAATTGAAGCCGTACCGCTCGAAACCCAGGGAAGTGCAATGGAAGATATGACTCCACAAGTCGGAGAACCGAAAGGTGAAAGAATACCACCTTCTCGTTCCCGGGGTGAAGGTGCACAACATGTACGTCATGAGCCCGGAGCAGAGCGACTGATCCCTGAAGCTGTCCCGTTGGAAACTGCGGTGCCTGCAGCAGAAGGTGCAGCTGAAGCCGAAAGAAGTGAAGCTGAGGAGCCTCCGCAAACCTGGAAAGGGACAAAAGAAATCGAAGCCGACGTAATCGCACTCGGAAAAGGAAGAGAAGGCGAGACGCCTGCAACTGAACAGCCTGCTTCAGAAGGTTTGCGTCATGGAGCTGGAGAAC